GTTCATGTTTCTCCGGAAAATAGAATTTTGTTTTATTGGGAGGTTTGTCCACTAATTAAGTGGTATAAGAAATTTAAATAAAATACATGTTGGAAAATTTTAAATGATGTCCATGTACCATGGAAATAATTTTAATATACATTAATAAAAATTTATAATGTGATTGGGTAATTTACATCAACGATAAAGAGCTTAAACTTCTTAATATAGAATTTATCGAAATACTCGATTTTCTGTAGGGGTTAACCCACATATTTTTAGAAAAACTAAAAAATATGAAAATTTTGTTTTAATGCATATTTGCATCATTCACTTACATAGTATGAAGGTTAAAGAGGTTTGAGACCGTAGGTGTTTATATTTCTCCAGAAAATAAAATTTTGTTTTGTAGGGGGTTTGTCCACTGATTAAGTGGTATATGAAATTAAAATAAAGTACATGTTGGAAAATTTTAAATGATGTCCTTGTACCATGGAAATAATTTTAATATACATTAATATTAATTTAGAATGTGATTGGGTAATTTACATCAACGATAAAGAGCCTAAACTTCTTAATATAGCATTTATCGAAAAACTCGATTTTCTGTAGGGGTTAACCCACTATTTCGAGAAAAATTAGAAAATATGAAAACTTTGTTTTAATGCATATTTGCATGATTCACTGACATAGTATGAAGGTTAAAGAGGTTTAATACCTTAGGTGTTCATGTTTTTCCGGAAAATAGATTTTCTTTATTGGGGGTTTGTCCACTAATTTAGTGGTATATGAAATTTAAATAAACTACCTGTTAGAAACTTTGAAAGGATGTCCATGTACCAGGAAAATAATTTTAACATACATTAATACAAATTTAAAATGTGATTGGGTAAATTCATCAACAATAAAGAGCCTAAACTTCTTAATATAACATTTATCAAAAAACTCGATTTTCTGTCGGTTTCGAGAAAAATTAGAAAATATGAAAATTTTGTTTTAATGAATATTTGCATCAGTCACTGACATAGTATTAAGGTTAAATAGGTTTGAGACCTTAGGTGTTAATGTTTCTCCAGAAAATAGAATTTCTTTTATAGGGGGTTTGTCCACTGATTAAGTGGTATACGCAATTTAAATAAATTACCTAGCGGAAAATTTGAAAGGATTTCCATGAACAATGAAAATAATTTTAAAATAAATTAATACAAATTTAGAATGTGAGTGGGTAATTTTCATTAACAAAAAAGAGCTAAACTTCTTAATATAGTATTTATCGAAAAACTCAATTTAATGCATATTTGAATTTGAATTATTAGAAAATATCAAAAGTTTGTTTTAATGCAGATTTGAATTATTCACTGACATAGTATGAAGGTTAAAGAGGTTTAAGACCTTAGGTGTTCATGTTTCTCCGGAAAATTGAGTTTTTGTTTATTGGGAGGTTTGTCCACTAATTAAGTTGTATATGAAATTTAAATAAAATACATGTTGGAAAATTTTAAATGATGTCCATGTACCATGGAAATAATTTTAATATACATTAATACAAATTTATAATGTGATTGAGTAATTTACATCAACGATAAAGAGCCTAAACATCTTAATAAAGGATTTATCGAAAAACTCAATTTTCTGTAGGGGTTAACCCACATATTTTGAGAAAAATTGAAAGTATGAAAATTTTGTTGTAATGCATATTTGCATTATTCACTTACATAGTATGAAGGTTAAGGAGGTTTGAGACCTTAGTTGTTCATGTTTCTCTGGAAAATAGAATTTTGTTTTGTAGGGGGTTTGTCTACTGATTAAGTGGTATATGAAATTTAAAAAAATTACCTGTTGGAAAATTTGAAATGATGTCCATGTACCATGAAAATAATTTTAACATACATTAATATTAATTTAAAATGTGATTGGAAAATTTTCATCAACAATAAAGAGCCTAAACTTCTTAATATAGCATTTATCGCAAAACTCAATTTTTTGTAGGGGTTAACCCACATATTTCGAGAAAAAAATTAGAAAATATGATAATTTTCTTTTAATGCATATTTGCATCATTCACTGACATAGTATGAAGGTTAAAGAGGTTTGACACCTTAGGTGTACATGTTTCTCCGGAAAATAGAATTTTGTTTTATTGGGGGTTTGTCCACTAATTTAGTGGTATATGAAATTTAAATAAACTACATGTTGGAAAATTTGGAATGATGTCCATGTACCATGAAAATAATTTTAACATACATTAATACTAATTTAGAATGTGATTGGAAAATTTTCATCAACAATAAAGAGCCTAAACTGTTTAATAAAGCATTTATCGAAAAACTCGATTTTCTGTAGGGATTAACCCACATATTTTGAGAGAAAATAAAAAATATAAAATTTTATTTTAATGCATATTTTCATCATTCACTGATATAGTATGAAGGTTAAAGAGGTTTGAGACCTTATGTATTCATGTTTCTCCATAAAATAGAATTTTCTTTATAGGGGGTTTGTCCACTGATTAAGTGGTATATGAAATTTTTAGAATGTGATTGGGTAATTTTGAAATTTTAACATACATTAATACAAATTTTGGAATGTGATTGGGTAACTTTTATCAACACTAAAGAGCTTATGATTGGGTAATTTTCATCGACAATAAAGAGTCTAAACTTCTTAATATAACTTCTAAAACCACATATTTTGAGAAATATTAGAAAATATGAAAATTTTATTTTAATTATTATTTGCATCATTCACTGACATAGAATGAAGGTTAAAGAGGTTTAAAATCTTAGGTGTTCATGTTTCTCCGGAAAATAGAACTTTTTTTATTGGGGGTTTCTCCACTAATTAAGTGGTATATGGAATTTACATAATCTACATGTTGGAAAATTTGAAATGATGTCCCTGTACCATGAAAATAATTTTAATATACACTACTACAAATTTATAATGTGATTGGGTAATTTTCATCAACAATAAAGAGCCTAAACTTCTTAATATAGCATTTATCCAAAAACTCGATTTTTTGTAGGGGTTAACACACATATTTCGAGAAAAAATTGAAAATATGAAAATTTTGTTTTAATATATATTTGCATCATTCACTGGCATAGTATGAAGGTTAAAAAGGTTTGAGACCTTAGGTGTTCATGTTTCTCCAGAAAATATAATTTTCTTTATAGGGGAATTGTCCACTGATTAAGTGGTATAGGAAATATAAATAAATTACTTGCTGGAAAAATTAAATGATGTCCATGTACCATGAAAATAATTTAATGTACATTAATACAAATTTTTAATTTTATTGGTTAATTTTCAGCAACAACAAAGAGCCTAAACTTCTTAATATAGCATTTATCGAAAAACTCGATTTTCTATAGGGGTTAACCCACATATTTTGAAAAATATTAGGAAATATCAAAATTTTGTTTTAGTGCATATTTACATCATTCACTGACATAGTATGAAGGTTGAAGAGGTTTAAGACCTTAGGTGTTCATGTTTCTCCGGAAAATAGAATTTTGTTTTATTGGGGGTTTGTCCACTATTTTAGTGGTATATGAAATTTAAATAATCTACATGTTGGAAAATTTAGAATGATGTCCATGTACCATGAAAATAATTTTAACATACATTAATACAAATTTAGAATGTGATTGGGTAATTTTCATCAACAATAAAGAGCCTAAACTTCTTAATATAGCATTTATCAAAAAACTCGATTTTCTGTAGGGGTTAACCCACATATTTCGAGAAAAAATTGAAAATATGAAAATTTTGTTTTAATGTATATTTGCATCATTCACTGGCACCTTTTACTAACTTTTTAAAAACTTCTTAACCAAGGTTAAGTCACTATCTTTAGTTATTGCGTGAATATGGTTACTTTTCTTCAATTTTGATTTTTTCTAATTGTAGGATTAGCAAAAACTGATAAAAAAATATGAGTTCTAAAAATGATCTCATCATCAATGAACCATCTCAATAGAAGCATTATTTTAAAAAGATTTTTTGCAATATCTCATGCAATATTTTTGATTTTGCATATATTAACACTTTTTTTTTATAGAAGTCATGTGAATATTCTTTTTTACAATAGAAAGATATAGCTTTTAGGAGTGGGGAAGATTTTCCGAACGATGAATAATTTGACTGATACTTATGTCGATTGTTTGATAGTTTAAATTATGAGAACCACAGTTGTTTATTTCTATAGATTTTGGAGGTATTCAAATAATATTAAGATTAAAAATGTAGAATGTAAAAATATAAAATTGCATAAAATTGTGCATAGATTTTTTGTAGAAATAAAAAAAGTTTATAACTATCTAAAGGTATAATCATATATATTCATTTTTATTAAGAAAGATGATATTTTATTTTTATTGTCCTAAGAATTTTTTAAAATATAAAGAAAAGTTTATAAAATTGGAATTCATTTTTCATAATTTATTTAAAAAAATATTCGACAACATAATTTTCTCTTCATGGTTATACATCTTTTTATTCCTTATATAAAAACCTTTTTGTCGAAGATCAAAATTTTAAATTCAAAAGATTTCCAAAACATATTGAGCCTTTCCCGCCTCGTCTAACTCCATGAGTCCACCTTATGAGTAGAGTAACGGTGCACAACAAGAAACGAAGAACAGAGAGAATTCTCTACTTCAATTCTACAAAAGATCAGAGTCAAGGTACCATACCATAACAATCATCAGGGACACAAGTCAAAAACACTAGAACTCTACCCTCTACTGCCAAGATACCATTGTGTCACAACCATTCTTGGTAGCTTCTGGTTCTGCATTCTTCTCATATTCTTCAGCTTTTGTTCCTCTTGGAACTGGAGATCGACTATACAATCAAAACATTACCATCATCATTTACAAAGACATCCCAATGAGCTTTAGTCAGCGACACGTATGAGAAACCAAAACCCATTATTATAATTTACCTTCTGTATCTGTCATAAGGAGGACTCCTTTGACTACCATTATCAGAACTCCTACCTCCACAATCTGTTGGACTCATGCGTCTTTCATAAGCTGTTGGACTCCTGCGTCGTTCATAAGCTGCTGAACTTCTGTGATGTCATAAGCTTTTGGCCTCCCGCGTGGTTCATAAGCTGCAGAACTCCAGCGTCTGTCATGTTCAGGGCTTCGAGGACAACTATGACCAGGAATTTGACGCCTATGGTACGCAGGGCTAAGAGATCTCCTCGGACTACCACCACCACATTGATCATCTATTTCATCGTTATGTTTTACGTCTCCGGGGTAAATTAGGAAATTACATAAATTATAATGGGCCTTCTCTACAAATAGGCCCACACTATAACTCCTTTTTTTTTTTAATCTCATTTGATTACTATAGTTTTTGGCTTGTACTAAAGTTGTGTGATCATTAGTTCATATGAGATGTGTCATATAAGCCAAAAACTTTAAAATCAACATAATTTATGCATTAAATAAAAAGGTAAGGAGTATACTCATTTGGTTGGTCTATGTGACAACCACTTTGATCCGCAAGTTATATGACTATTTCCAATTTATAAAACATTTAAAAAAAAAAAAACAAAATGTGAGTTTATCAAGAACTTTAATTTTCTAGAGAATTTTACACGGAAACTACAAATTTAAACTGTTTGAAAGAAAGAAAAAAATGGTTTAAAATACAAAAAAAAATGTGATTCACCAGACCATAAATAATAAAACTTATGTACAAATTCAACTAAATATTTAAGGAATCAATTTTCTTTTGTTCATACTCTCACAGCCAATCACAGATCTCCACTTGTCAGTTGACTTTAAAACTTTCACATCACGAACCGTTCCTTAGCTCCCGAGTCAGATTGAACGACTGAGATTTCCTGTTACCTTTCAACCCCAATAATCCATACAACTTCTTGAACTCCTTCACCGCCGGCGAACTTCCTCCGCCGCACAAAGGTCCACTCATCTCTTCCTCGAAATCTTCCGATATCGTTCTCTCATGCAACAACCGTCTCCCACTCGCCGGCGTCCCCCTCCTCTCTCCCTCCGTCTGCAAAGCGTTGATCACCGACTTCAACGCTCGACTCGGCGAGTTTCTGTTCGCGATCATCAATTCTCCGATCTCCGCGGGGCTCAGAGACGCGCCGTCACGGAATATACCTTCCACTTGAGGGAAAAGCTTATGCTCTTTTAGGCCTAAGTAGTTGTTAGCCAACGTTTTAAACGCCGTGAAATCACATAACGGAAAATGGATGTGAACGTCTACCCGACCCGGACGGATAACCGCCGGGTCGATATGTTCTTTAGACGTCATAGTGAACACCATGATCCGCTCATCGGCCACGCACGAGGTTAGAATNCTTCCACTTGAGGGAAAAGCTTATGCTCTTTTAGGCCTAAGTAGTTGTTAGCCAACGTTTTAAACGCCGTGAAATCACATAACGGAAAATGGATGTGAACGTCTACCCGACCCGGACGGATAACCGCCGGGTCGATATGTTCTTTAGACGTCATAGTGAACACCATGATCCGCTCATCGGCCACGCACGAGGTTAGAATCCCGTCCGTGAAATTCAAAACAGCGGAAACGCTGAGAGCCGTTGATTTCGACGAGAGGAACCGATCTAGATCCTCGATGACGATCACGGACCGACACGTGGTTTGTAACAGAATCATTTTGAGATCGGAATCGTCTTCCACTTTCGTTAGATCTATATCGTACACATCGTAGTTTAGAAAATTCGCCATAGCGGCCACGAAGCTTGATTTTCCGGTACCTGAAGGTCCGTAAAGAAGATAACTCCTTTTCCATACTCTTCCGAGTCGGTTGTAGAATTGTTTCCCTTTGAGAAACGATTCGAGATCGGACTTCACTTTATCCTTCAGATCTGTTTCCATGGCGATGTTATCGAACGTGCAAGGATGAGTAAATGGAATGGATTTCCATCTCCCGTTCTTCTCGACGTTCATGAACAGCTTAACCTCTTTGCTCCTCCTCTGCTCTATCTCCTCCGATACTGTGTGTATATGGTTGAGATAGGAGCTGAGGACTCTCCGTTTATCGGCTTTTCGAATTCTCAAAACGAAATTTCTTTCTCCGTTGATCCAACAAACTCTAGCGCCGAGAAACTCGTCGCCGATCACTTGATTCCGATCGAGACGGAGGATGATCTCGTTTGACTTTTTGCCAGCGAAGAGGTTTGTGTAATCCGAATTCTCGATTGAGCTGAGTGAATTTAAGTAAGCGTAGACCTTACGGTATAGTTGATTCTCCTGCAAGTTATCGTTGAACTCAGGGACTTTGTAGAATTGATAAACGTGAAACCAGTCGATGATCTTCCTCCGCCACTTCTTCACCGTGTAAATCAAACCGGTTTTGAATAAAACAACTCGTACCAAGAACAAAACCATTATCAGAACCGGTATTCCTATAACCGAGTTCCAGAGAATCCCCATGATCTGAAACGTCCCCTAGAATCTAAGATGATGATGACAAGGTGGAAAGAATTAGAGACATGTTTTAGGGTATAATTAAAGAGAATCGTGAGAGAACACTTTAGGAAGAGAAGAGAAAGGGAAGAAGATCTTTTTGAAAAGAAGCGTGGCAGGGACGGTGATAGTTACCGGTCAAGGGTAGTTTTGGTATTTTGATAAATATCTGTCACGGCGTTTTACCGCTCGGGTTGGTTTGAATGGTTCAATCATCACTTGCACAAGTAATGTATTGATGCTTACGCCACAATTAATATCTTAATCACTTTTTTTCTATATTTATAAAGTTTTTAGATTTTTTTTTCTTTATTCGACTAAATATTAATTGCTATTACTGCATATGGCAACTTATCAATAACTATGATTTATTTCCGCAAAAATCAAATAATCTCTTCAAATCATCATCATGATTAAAAGAGACAAAGGCTGAGTGTTCTAAAACAAAAACAGCAACGAAGACTAACTATTATTAATTCTTCAGGTTTTTCATTCTACCTAACGTCGAGTAGAGTAATGAAATGGTTAAAAATAAATTGGGTAGAACCGTAAAATTAATAAAACTACGCATACCACTTGATGGTTGATATGGTCGCTAGCTGGATCAATCTTGCTGGCGTTACATTACAATATGCTTCTGCAAAAAAAAAAAAAAAAGTTATTGATCGTGACAAAGCTCTGAAAGTCAACTTTTGGTTGGCCAATATTTTTTTTATTTTTATTTTTTGGTAAAGAAAATGAAGGAATTTAATGGCTCGAATATTCGGAATATATTGGATACTAAACAAAGAGAAGACGTGTTTATCATTATCTTATACAAACAAAATTAGGAGTGTTTTCAATTATAACATCGATTATTTTTTGTACATAAAAGTAGTAACTAAAATAGACATTTATCTAAAATTGGTTGCGCAGATATGGTTACAACTTCGTCATAATCAATATTTTTATTTTTTTAAATCTAATATTTGATCAGTACATTAATCATTAATGACTAATCATCGGATGTATAATGTCAAGTATGTGTGGAACCTCCAAACGATTGTATCGTCTGCTCGACACGTATATCACATGGTAGCCGCTTCTCACGCTGGACACTAGAAAGACACAAGTAATCATTTGACCTTGACTTGGTAGCGCAGGCGTGTGCAGACTGGGCGTGTGGTACGTTTGCTATCAACCTACGTGTTTGAGCGATTGTCAAGTGTATTTGGATGTGAATATGTGATATTGAGGCCTAGCTAGTATCTGGATTCAAGAAGTGGTCCTAACATCGTAATAATATGTTTCTTTTGATTAAAGGTTTTCTAAAAGTAATTTAGTTGAAACGGGAATATCAACTACAGATATAGTTAAAGTGGTCCTAACATCATAATAAATCAAATTCTGTGAAAGATTAGCAGAATATTAATTCAGAGTCATCATCCACTTAATTTATTCTATCAACTTCATCACTCGGATATATATGCCAATTGCTAGCGTCAGATTATCACCATAAATCACGGATCTAAAAGCGATTAAACATTTAAAACCTTTAGTTAAAATTCGCTTTTCCGTACGTTATACCTAAAAATAATAAGAGTATCAAATAATTTTTTTTACAGGAACCCAAATCAATCGTTGACAAGAAAATACCAAATCAGTAACAAACAAACTACGTAATGTAATATATAGAGATTACATGCATGAACAATGATTGGAAAACCACGTGCATACTGCATTCATGAAAATGAAAATTCACAGTCTGCACGTATAAATTATACTAATGTTTAAAAGGTTTTAACTCCGACCAAGTAGTGTGTTATATATGCTTTTGTCACATAAATTACATGTTAGATGGAGCGTGAGGGTTCGATATAGATACCAAGATACAATGTCATTAACATGTGTTTTTTCATCAAACATACAGAAGAGTTTGGACATGCTGTTAAGTAATTAGCCTCTAGACTTCTAGATGATCGACGTTATATCATTTATATATCTAAATGTCGTTGGTGATCAAAATTTTGTCTAACCTTTAACGGGCAAGTTCATTGCTTAGTGTGTTATTTGTTGATGATCGTGGAAACATCGGACTTTTCTCTTTAATCATAGGTGCAGACGAACCAAATTGGCCAACCCTACCTTACTTTTATATGAGAAAAACATCAATTATCCCAAAAGGACGTACCTATATCATTTCACACTAGCATTTTCTTTTTTTCTTTTTATGTTTTTCACAATCTTTGATCCTGTATGAACACGTGTATCGACACATATATGATTTTAGTTTTATTATTACGTAGTGACCAACATGATTAACACTGGAAACAACTAATTATCCTAAATATTTCGCTGTCTCTGCTTTTAGTGGCAGAGCCTAAAGAGAAAATTCAAATAGCCTACCAAACACCACCTTTAAACTGATGCTACGTATCTGGACAATTTAGGCAGAAGTTAGGAATATAGAGATATCATTGATATACCAAGAAATCAAGGATTAGCTTACAGATACTAATTTGGTCCTTAAATTCTAAACCCTTGAACGAATAGAAGCGGTGTGCATGTCACAAAGCATAGCCATCTTTTAAATTTCCGTTTCAGTTTCTTAAAATGAAGTGTTTTTAAAAAAATGAAATGTTTTTTATTTAAGAAGTTTTCTTTATTGGTAGTGGGCGAATGAGAATCATCGACAATAATATGTGCCTTCATGCCAACCTTTTTTGCTGCATGAGTTGTTTCCGTTGAAAACACCTCCTGTTAGGTATAATCCAATGTCTTGGCTCTGTAGCTCTGTAGTTTTGATTTGCTCGGATCGTGTTTCTATTATTGTAAGCAAATCTTTGTTTCAAAATTTAACATTTAGTCGAAAGAAAAAGAAAGAGCTCTCTTATAATAATATGTTTAATACGTTTGGTAGAAGAAAAAAAATCCCATTCACTTACTTTAAGGTCTTTTCATTTACTTGCTTACGACTATGTTGATGAAAATCTAAATGTATATACTCCTGAAATTGATATTTCTACGAAATCTATGAATAATATTAGTATTGTAAAGTGGTTTTGGATGGAGAAAACATTGATTTTAACGTGACGCCAATGTATTACTGAACACTTGTCGTTTAGATTTTATTATTATACATTATCGCGTTGAATCATTCTTATACAAAGGGATGAATATTGAAGAAGTCTTTAAGTCGAAGATAAGGTTGTCTACATGATTCGGTCATCTATTCCTTAGGTGTCAATATATGATTAAAATGACTAATTGTTCATAGACTGGAGAGAAAAAAAAAATCTTAGATTAAGTTAAAAAAAAAAAAAAAATCTTAGATTTCAAATCCAAGACTTTTAGTTTGTGAAGTTTTTTTGGAAATCACAGCTATGTAGTGCAGCTAAAAAAACTTGATGAAACGAAAAAAATGACATGATATTTAGAGATGAGGTGATAAAGTACACTTACCAATAGTTTGTAATTTTTATTATTATTATTATTTGGATGACTACTTTACAAAAAAAGTGAACAGTATTATCTACTTGTTAATTATCAGCAATTGCTATTTTGTTTCTTGTATATAAATAAGGTAGTAGTAGTTACACATAGATTTGTGATTTGACGCTTTAGTCGTTACTGTGCTTTTGTTTCTCATGTCATATGCATATGTCTATTGACTGAAAGTCTGTAAAATGGCACAATCAATGATTCTATGCTTCTTATGACGACTGACGCGGTCCACAGTACACACAGAAAGTCACAAAGATACTACTTCAACGACTGTGCAACGACACCAACCATCTCTGTTCGATGATAACCAAGAATTAAAGTTTTCGGTTCGATTTGCCGTATGCCTAGGCCCAATAAACAAGAACTCCAACTAAAATCTATGTGAAGAAAGAAATACTACGGGCCACATGGGCCTTATAAGTGTACAGTAATGCCCAGTTAAATGACATTTAAAAGGTTTGTATTATGTTAAGTAATGTCCAGTTATTTGACACGTGAAGCATCCATAGAGTTCTCTTATCTGTTTGGTTGTTGTTTCTGCGGTCAAGGATCTGTCTCTTGTTTGCCATAATAATCATCTCTGTCACAATTTAGCAAAGAGAGACACACAGAGAGAGAGAGAGAGAGAGAGAGAGAGAGTATGGCGACCACACTTCATTGTCTCTCCACACTCCATCTCCTTCCTCGCACAACCCAACGTCCTAAAACTCTCAACTCTCTCAAACCACAACCTCGCAAGATCAATGAAACACCCTCAAACCCTAACGCTCTCCAGCTCCTCAAATCATCATCTCTCCCTCTCGCACTCACTGCATTACCATTTATCATCGATCCACAAGATGCAGCAGCAGCTGGAGGACAGTTTGGGATCTTGGAAGGACGTTCCTTCGCGTTGATACACCCTATCGTCATGGGAGGTTTGTTCGTATACACTCTCTACGCTGGTTACTTAGGTTGGCAATGGAGACGTGTACGCACCATTCAAGCCGAGATCAACGAGCTCAAGAAACAGGTTAAACCAACTCCTGTTTCTCCCGATGGTTCCACGGTTGTTGACTCTTCGTCTCTTCCTTCTGCGACGGAGCTTGACATCAAAAGGTTGACGGAAGAGAGGAAAGAGTTGGTTAAAGGGTCTTATAGAGACAAACACTTTGATGCAGGCTCTGTTTTGTTAGGGTTTGGTGTTTTGGAGTCTGTGTTTGGTGGGCTTAATACTTATCTTCGTACCGGTAAACTCTTCCCCGGTCCTCATCTTTACGCTGGTGCAGGTATTTACTTAACCACTAACGATATCTCTTGATTAGGCGATTTATAGAAGACTAGCTCACAAACATGATATTGGACCTAGATGAGTGTTAGACGTTAATGGAGTATTTGTTTAATTATTTTGTAAGATAGATCTATTGGCTTTATGTAGTGCCTAGACCGATTTTTAGAACATTGAATATCCGATTTTGGTCTGGGTAATGTGTAGACCGAGTTTTAGAACATTATCCAATTTTGGTCTAGATAATGCGTAGACCGATGACCGATTTTTAGAACACTGAATATCCGATTTTGGTCTAGGTAATGTGTAGACCGATTTTTAGAACATTAAATATCCAATTTTGGTCTAGGTAGTGTGTAAATCGACTTTTAGAACATCGAATATCCGATTTTAGTCTAAATAATGTGTAGACCGAGTTATAGAACATTATCCAATTTTGGTCTAGGTAGTGCGTAGACCGATGACCGATTTTTAGAACATTGAATATCCGATTTTGGTCTAGGTAATGTGTAGACCGATTTTTAGAACATTAAATATCCAATTTTGGTCTAGGTAGTGTGTAAATCGACTTTTAGAACATTGAATATCCGATTTTGGTCTAGGTAATGTGTAGACCGANCGATTTTTAGAACATTAAATATCCAATTTTGGTCTAGGTAGTGTGTAAATCGACTTTTAGAACATTGAATATCCGATTTTGGTCTAGGTAATGTGTAGACCGAGTTTTAGAACATTATCCAATTTTGGTCTAGGTAGTGCGTAGACCGATGACCGATTTTTAGAACATTGAATATCCGATTTTGGTCTAGGTAATGTGTTTACCGATTTTTAGAACACTAAATATCCAAGTTTGATTTAGGTAGTGTGTAAATCGACTTTTAGAACATTGAATATCCGATGTTGGTTTAATTTGAGATTGGAAAATGGAAATCCAGGTTTGAATCGGTTTAATTTAGGGGGATTTTTTTCTTTTAACGTTTCATAGGTTTTAGAGTAATTTCACTTAATGACCATCAGATGATATATCGAAGTGTAGAAATGTTGTCGTTGTATTACCACGGAAATTGAAAATCTGAAAATAATCCTTCGTATGAAGAATAAATATTTGCAAAACCACAAAAAATGATACTGTGACTGCTATTTCAATAGTTATCATCCCAAGACCTCGTGACTATATATGCTTTGAAAATTGAAAATTCATAAACATTTTCTCGTTTACATTTGTGTATAAGTGGTAAAAAAAAATTGAGTTGGCGGTGGTGGTTGCAGGAATAACGGTGCTATGGGCGGCAGCAGCTGCTTTGGTGCCAGCGATGCAGAAAGGGAATGAGACGGCGAGGAATCTACACATTGCGTTAAACGCTCTCAATGTTGTGCTTTTCATTTGGCAAATCCCAACAGGTTTTGATATCGTCCTTAAGGTCTTTGAGTTCACCAAATGGCCTTAAACCCCTTCACTTGCTGTGGTCTTTCGTTTTGGCTTTACAGTTCTAGTTGTTGGACTTGTGATATGAGCATTGACTCTATTTATATATATATATATAAGCAAAGTCATCTACAACTCTTTTTTTTTTTGTAAATGCTGAATTGTAAAATAATAGTGAGTGGGTATCGATATGATATATGGCTCAACAACATGTGTTTTCCAGAGTTTTAATTTCTGCTGTAATGGTTTCAGTGTACAAGAACTTTAGTACTTAATGATAGATAAAATGTTCAAACTAAAATTCGTCTCTTATACAACAGGAAATTAACAACATAAATGGGTCGAATTTGTGAAAGCCAAAATTCTAGTTCTGCCTTTTAAGTTTCGCATTTCACTGTATTTTTATACTCTTTGCCAAAATCCTAATTTTTTTCACTCTTAAAATATTATAAGGCAAACAAAAACGTCTAAAGTAAAGAATAAATTTTAATTCTTAAATTACAAAATTACAATGAACAAATAAATATAATGATTTGAATGAATACAGTTGATACCATTCGTGATATGTGGGTTTTGAAAGCTGCATCTGATACCTTACTCGTACATCATTAATATTTCTTTGGTAAACTACAATATTAATATTGATAAAAAAAAAAAATATTTCTATTAACATCACAAAGCATGTATAAATGACCTAATCCTATACCTAAAATCTTAAACCGTTATCATATAAAGAAAGCTAAATATCATAATATGTCGAATCAATCGGGTCGTTCGTGCATGGTACCGTTTCTCTAGCGTCGTCCGGCAAACACAACACTCTTCACGCGATCCATCTCCTCCCCGACACGTCATCAAACCACCACCATCTCCGCCTTCACCTCCTCCGCCGCCTCAACCTTTGTCCGCACCATTACGTCCACCACCGAAACAAGTCCAAGAGGCTAAACCTAGTCCGGTTACATCTTCACGGTCTATGAAACATGAACCCACTAAGCCTAGGCACGAGGAAGAGGTCACTCATCAGAAAAGCATACTTTCGGACAAAACAAACCTCGTACACAGTCCAAACAAGGAGCAGCAACACGAGTCTGATGACATCATCATGGCCACACAAGGCCTCATAACCATCTCAGGTGAAAACAAAGGAGCTGTGATGGAGATACAACGGTCACCGAGAAAGACACATGGCAATGGAAATAGGTCAAACAATTCTAAGAAGCATAACGATAATATTGGTGGATATCGACCGATGGATGGTTTTGTGAACAGTAACGTTCAGATAGTAAATGGCTCTGTCGTCTACAACTCGTCGGAGATTCATCATGATCCTGGCGTTCATCTTAGCCTCTATTGGAAACCTAGCTCTGGTAATGGTTTTATCGTCAAAGACCATGGCAACGGCTACAACAGCTCAATCAACTAAATCTATTAAGAAAAAATATTGAAGAAAAATTTAAACGACTTACACTATTGATACGTTATGATTGTCATAAACAATAATTATTTTTTATTATTTCTGAATTTCTAATAATTTGATATAATTCTTATTTGTTCTGGTCCATGTATATAATGTGAGAGTTTTCGTTGATAAGCCTGTGTGTATTATGTAATCTGTAAGTGGTGTTGGAGAGAAGTATCCATGTACAAAGTTAAATATGCTAAATCATTTGTGTTATATGATACTAAGTGTGATTGGTAATTTGTTACCGCTGGCGCTGATTCCACTTAACTTATTGGTATAGCTCATACTGTTCAAATGTGTTATTAGTACTTAACTTTTAATCTACATTTTAGTTAATCTTATTGTAAGTCAGCGGGTGTTTAAGTCGCCGACGTAATGAAGAAACTGATGTAACAGGTTATATCAATTTATTTAATCTACAAGACGCCATTAAGAAGATGCTTCTACAAAAGAAATCTGTGTAGATACTTATCCAATTTTTAAATCTCTCAAGTCTCAGTAGTATATGATTAGACCACAATTAATCCAAATCTTGTCAGATTTTGTTCTTTCCCATTGCTTATGTGCCTACTCCTTACTAGATTAGAAATACCTCTTTAATAATTCATGTGTCACAATCTTTTCTTACTGTATATTAATACAAATTCTATAAGACTATAACTCTAGTTATAAATATTTGTTAGCTCGAAAAGTTTAAAACAATATTATACATATGTAGTTCGACCCGACACACTTTAAAAGTGATTGCAGTCAATATTCTTCTCATATTTAATCATATTATTTTATTAGAAAATCGGTTTTTGTTAATTGGCTAATGTTAAGTGACGAGTGTGTATTGATTAGTTTGTTTGAAAACGTGTGACCAATAGATTAGAGGTTTCCAGTGTTGCTATATGTCTAAGATACATTCTCCTAAACAGGTGTTTAGTAGATTTAGGTAAGCTATAAGAACCTGTCGGTTATTTTACTTTCTTGATTAAGTTGTTAGTCGGTGAAAATGCTCTGCTTTCCACAAATTGAGTCTTTTAGCAGCCGCAATATCGAAGTAGAGTTCTAGTGGATCATGCACCACAACGCCTGAGGAAATAAACCCACTAAAAAGGGACTGGTAGACGCTTTAAGGACACTTTACCGATTTAATTTTCAACAAATTGTGAACCGTAGAACACCACTTTCATAAGATATATACCACCTCATAGCTAAGCAGTAAAAATAAATATTAAACAGCGAATTAGACCGCGGAGGTCTACAAGACTCAAAGAGAAGGGAAAATTAGCTAGTAATCTTTAACAAACTTAACTTTTGGAATCCTTCGTCCTACAAATTAACTTAATGAAACGGGATCACTATAATAACGCTTGGTCACTGAAAACAAAAAAAGAGACAGTGTATGTCAAATCTGCAACTTTTGTAAAGTCGAATCTTACATATATTTTGGTTGGGAAAAAATGTGGAAAACAACCCTTAGGTTTATTTGGTAACTTTAGCAAATATCTTTTTTTTTTTCACAAAAAGTATCGACAGATAATTTCAAATTTTTAGGATGCTGTCATGTAGAGGATTTGAACATTTTCCGAATTTATTTTGTTATCATGAATTGATTTTAGCCTAATGAATCCACTATTTCTCTACTGTTATGTGTCTTGTCGAATTAAAAGTCAAAATAAATACATTATTACATTATTGACGTCGATAATGTGTGTTTTATTTAGCTGATCAATGGATGAAAGATTGTTATATTCTATTTGCATGTAATCGGGGTTGTGTTCGCGTTCAAGCAAAGAACGTTTCCCATAATTGCGGTGTTAGTAACCCATAGTATCAATTACGTTTTCATAAAGATAAACATTCAAACAAGGAAAATATGATTTAATATTTAGATAGAACTGAAAACCGTTACTCAAAGCCCACAGAGAAGTAGTAGTATATCAACTATTGTTTTCTGTGACATTGACATAGTAATTGATTAATGCGTTTCATTATATTCACAATAACATCACTCCTCACACCACCACACACGTTACGTATCAAGAAAGTGTTCATAGCCTTTCTTGTTCTCCTTTAATTTTTTCCTTTATTTATTTTTGCATCGCACACTAATTTCTTTTCCCTTTAGTGTATAGTAATAATCTTGTCGTGCGCTCTAACCACGCCTGCCGCGCAGCTTAACAGCAAGAGGTGTAGCCATCTCACACGAGAGCCTCAGTTTCTCGGACAAGTCAACTGTCTTTTCATCGTTAGGTGCAAGCCACTCAAACTCATGCAAGAGCGTCGCGATCCAATACATCACGGTTGACAAACCAAGATTCTTTCCAGGACAGACCCGACGACCCGACCCAAATGGTGCTAGCCTCAGATCAGACCCAAGAACCGAGAACTCGACCTCACCTTCCTTTGCAACAAACCTTTCAGGTTTAAACTCCAACGGATTTTCCCACACTTGTGGATCATGTGCTATGGCCCACATGTTCACCATTGCCGTGGTCCCTGCCGGGACACAATGACCGTCGATGATCGTATCTGTGATTGCTAAGCGGGCCCACGACAAAAGTGGGCCTGGTGGGTGAAGCCTCAAGACTTCTTTCACAACAGCATTCAGATATGTAAGAGACGCCACGTCAGATTCTTCCACAGCTCTCGACCTCCCCACGACCTGATCAAGCTCTTTGTGAACCATTAACTGAACATCTGGATGAAGCACCATCCTAGCAAGAATCCACTCGATCAACACCGCCACCGTGTCAGTTCCTCTGAATATCATTTCCTTTAAAACCAACAAAAAATGTAAATTACTTTAGAAAAATTATTCATGTTGTTGTGTCACATAATTGCATTATTTAATTGATCAGAAAATAGTTGTTAAAAGTAATAAAAAAAAATTCCAAACAAATTTAATAAAAGAGATTTATTGTGTTCTTTTTGTCTATTTTATTACAAAGTTTTAAAGAGACATGTGTACGTACCCATAGAACTGCGACCATATCCGGGTCGGATAACTTATCCGCACCATCAAGAGATAACAACACGTCAACGAAGTCACTAGGCGCGTCACGAGTTTGCTCACGGTGGTCAGAGATAATCCGGTTCACAAACCGGTTTACTTGCGGTACAAGATTAGAACATCTAGACCGGATTCTCTGAGGATCAAATTCCGACAGCCACGGGAGATGATCGGTCCAGTTAAGTTTTCCGAGCAAATCATAACCTTCTTCCACCAAACCACGAAGCTCATTCACTTCATCATGCTCATGCTCGAGCTCGTACTCTTTCCCGAAAACAGAGCACATCATGTTGTTAAGCGATGCCGTTTTGATCAAGTCACGAGCAAAACAGAGTCCTTCGTTGCTGCCACTCTGTTTCTCAAGACACTTCACGATCTGATTCGCGATCACACGTCTCTGCGTTTCGGAGCGTTTAATCTGTTTCGGGCTGAAAAGATGGTTAGACGCGATTTTCCTCAACGTGCGCCAGTAAACGCCGTAAGGAGCGAAACCGATAGCCCGGTTAAACATAAGTGAATACGCTGATTCCTTAACCGGACGGTCAGCGAAAACCGGACTGTTTAGTATCTCTTTAGCAACATCAGGGTTGCACGTGACGATCACGCGAGTATCTCCCAAGCTAAACGCCATCAAACGTTTGGCTCCGAACCTCTCCGCGGCTGCGGCTATGCAGCGGTGAGCTAAAGCGTTGGACATGAGAGACATGCTTCCGACAAAAGGCAAGCCTCTTGGTCCGGGAATCACGGCGGTTTTGTGACGGCGATGGAGGAAGTGTTTTCCCCACGCGGGTCCTCCGGGATGAGACCAGTAGAAGAGAGAGAGCGCGAGGCAAGCCATGGAGGCTACGAGAAGAGAGAAAGCGAGATGGGTTTGAGTAAGGAGGCTACATTTGGACAAGAGAGCGAAGAGCAAGCTGGTTGTGTCTAGCTTGGTCGCCATGGAAGCAGAGAAAGAGATATATAAAAGGTGAGTGGCTTTTTTAGCTGTGGGGTTTGATGAGATGAAATGCTGCCTTCAGGTGTTTATATAGGCAACAATGGGAAGTCTCTCTTGTCAATTTATAAAGATTATTTTCTGAAAATTATTTCATTATTTATATTATATCATTTTATATTCCAAAGGGAATGTTGTCTTTAGTATTTAACAGGGAACCTATTTAATTTTAATAAAAATCTTTATTATTAATTGTCATATCAATACTGTTAAAACATAATTACAAGATTTTTCCATGTACAATTTTTAAGTGGGATCATCTCTTATAAATGATTAAATGTATATTTTTATAATTTCTCACCAAAAATTACTCAATATAGAAATTTAATTAAATGTGATTATTTTTAATTAAAAATTCCATTTAATTTTATGTGTCATTTCAGATTTGTTCACACATATTAAGAAAATATTCAGTTTGTAAATTTTATAACTAAAAACATCATTTATTATACATATGATTATATTTCAACCAATAGAAAAATAAATTGTAGAATATTTAATTTGTATATTTAAATAAATATTTAATCTGTTCACACATATTAAGAAGATATTTAATTTGTATATTTTATAACTAAAACATCATTAATCATACATATGATTATATTTCAACCAATAGAAAATAAATTGTAAAATATAAAAAGTCATATAGCATATAAAATTATTAAAATTTTCATCAAAATACTAAAACTTACACTTATTTCGTGACATAATTTTACTTACAACAATACTAAATATGAACTTACGGAGTAATATAAAAATAATTTCAATAATTTAGTTACAATATTTTAAATATATTTTAGTATTTTGATGAAAAATAATTTCAATAAATTAACTACAATATTTGAAATACAAGATTTTTTGGAATCTTTCATGTGGTTGCTGATAATTTTATTAGTTGAGTAAACATAAGCCAGATCAACATTTTATTTTAGGACATTTTGTTGGTAAAGTGAGACCTTTCAGCCA